TCAACTTTGTTGAGTCTTTGTTGAGGATTTCCTCGTCAACACAAGTCATTGGATTTCAATAGGGCGGCCAATGAAGACTGGACATGTGTTACATTCCCTCCAGTCATAAAGAATGATTCCTTTGTACCTCAGGGATCATATGAATACAACTTCTGGCAGTAGCCTAGCTCCCACACTTTCAGTGCAATAATCAGTCAGAGATGCAGGCCAATTGATGCCAGGTGCTGTGAAGCCATACTAGTGACAGAGTGCAATCAATATGATTGACCACAAATCCACTGATTGGCAGTCTTGTGTTTGACTGTGGCTTTGTATCACCCCATAGTGCTATTGCTGCTATTTCCTTGAACACCCAAGTTTGACTGCAACAATCTGTTGTCAGCTTGCTTACTTCTATCATGGTGTCAATCAACAACTCACACTGTCTTGATTGTCTTGTATGAATGGATGCACCAATCAAGATATTCAGTGTAACCAGTATGTGCGTGCAGTCCAAGGCCATCCACTGCCTCCACTCTAGCTCTGCCTTAGATGATTGTGGAAACATGTCCTGCAGCTCAGCAGGCAAATCAGCAACACACACGAAGCTGTGCAAAACCTGAAAAACAGTGAGCAATCATTTATTCTCAGTAGAAGTCTGTGTTAAACCTGCAATATATATAACCAAGTGTTGCTTGCGTATGACAAAGGACATGTTGAACCCAGCTTGTTGGGTGGCCTGATTAGTTCCATGGTTTATTGCTGCTGTCTACTTTGTATGACCAACCATTGAGTTGAAGATGGAAGATTCCTGTAGGTAGTTCTGGCTAAGATCATGGCCAGATGGTTTGAACTTGGCACCTGAATCAAGCAAGACTGCTCAGTGTCACATTCAGGTCAGGAGTGGTCCAAGATGTGTGTGCAAGGCCCTTGTTGGACAGTCAGTAAGTAATAAACATGTCTGAAGGACCTTGCAGGGAAAACCCCTGTGCTTTGGAAGTGTGGTAAGCATTGGCCAAACAATCCTGACGTACACAATGAGGACTTGGGAGGTTTGATGAGTGAGAGCCCACAAGGATGCCTGAGCTAGGACAGCAGAGGACAGCAGTTTACAACATCAGATACAAGTGTCACGAGGAACCCTGGCACCTCCAGTAGTGCACTTGCTGGGGAGTGGGCCATGTATGGCAGTATGATCCCAGTTGTGTCTTTGGTCTTCTAAGAAACTCATTAATCCACTCCTTGAACCTGGCTTAATTAAATATATTGACATATGCTCATCTGAGAAACTACCTGCCTTCCAAGATTTACCAGAACAAGCAATGATCAAACTCTGACAATAAAAATAATCTTGCACCAGCCAGATTGAATTTATAGGGAGTATCATGATTGTCATGGTGCTCAGCTCACCATCCCCATTGCAGTGACACAAGAAACAAGAGCATTGAATCCTGGATAATGAGTATCCTAGAGAATCCATAATGTGCATATTTCTTCATCAGAAAGTTTTACTGATCATAGATAGCTCTGACAATATTGCCACACAGCCCAATCATATGTGTAGTTGCAGACTTGTTCTTGCCCAACTGTAGTTGAGCTGCCCTGTTCCACCATGTTTGGGACATTATATACTGTCTCAAAACACTGAACAATAATACCCCTTTACTATTGGGAGACTTTTGGATCATGGAATTTGTATAGGGACTGTTTATTAAGTCAATAATGACAATGATCAGAATTGTTTGTATCATTTGAACTGAGTAGGTCATATACTTCCCTACAAATTTGATACTACATGGGCTTAGACCTCCCAATGTAAGAGTCAGTCTAGGCCAACTATGCTGAGTTTTTTACACTCATGATGCCTTTTCATAAACTGCAGCTCATGCTGTGGAAAAACAGTAAGTCACATGTGTCATGTGTAGCTGCAACCTTATAGATACAGTATATTGTGCTCATCTGCATTCCTCTCCTCATCTCATAACCTGACATCATTCCATAGCATGTTACTGTCAATACAGATACAGGTAACAACATTCCAGCTAAATGCATTAGGTGGGCACCTGATGTTGTTGCCTCGTAGTTCATACTGAGGAGTTCACATTGCTAACCAATGAGGGCATCCACAGATTATCAAAGCCATGTTACTGTCAAATCTTCATAATTCATGACCTGAGTGATATGTCACAGGGATTGTTATGGATATTCAATGGAGAGCAAGACCCTGTAAATAAGAATTTTATCATCAACTTTCTATTGCACAGCAGCAGGCAGTCTGCATAGGTTTTGCACCCATTCACATGAATGAACTGTGGTCCCATACAAGAGTATGGTACTTATGTTGCAAAGTGCCGCCAGAGGTTTGGGTGAGCACAATTACCACATATATAGTACTTCACTGATTTTCTGGGGTGTATGGGGCTTTTCTGAGCCTACACAAGGAGGTTATGTGGCCTCAGAATGAATATCCTGCACATGTTCATGCTTTGTATGCATAAGGAACTATGAAGGCTAGGGAAATTATGAGAGGGTCTGTGCCAGTGAAGCAGGAGCTATCACACAACTTGAATCAGGATTACTACATATGGCAGGTGCCCTCCCAATTGGCAATCTCACACTGGGCAATGCTTTGTGGGCCAAGTAAACACTGTAAGAATGATGGAATATTCAGAGTGCATGATTGCATTAGTTCAAGCAATTGTCATATTTGCATCTTTCCATAGCTATAGGCATTTGTGATTTTCTCCATCATTGTGTTTGTCTGCTCTGTGCTTGTATCAAAGGACATTTAGAACAGTATACATTCCTAACTGGTTCAGGGTACTACATAAGGCAGTTGCTGGGGAAAATAGTAGAGCCACTGTGTTGTGATTGTGAATATATATCAGAGCACACATGGCTGTGTCTACTAGTAGTGCATAGCGTGGGTGTACCCATGGGTGTCTGAGGGCATACACATACCCATACCCACATGGGTTGCATACCCATGCCATGGGTATGGGTTTTGCATGGGTATCATGGGTACCCTTGGGTATGGGTACTATCATGGGTAGATCTATGTGCAGTTCATGGTACTCATAATTTTGCATGATATGGGATGTGTTTGTTGGTATCATGCTGGCCAGGTGAGTTTCACTGATTGCATGGTCAATCACAACATTGTTGAAGCTTCCACTTTTGCAAGCCAGGACACATTGATTAGATGGGAGTCACTTACATGAGGGCAGTTACTGTACCTATATTTCCAACATATATGGATATTCAGGTGGGACAACCACAACATTTGGGGAATAGCAAGGCTGTATACACAAATAAGTCTTACACATCACAACACAAAATGTATAGTGATACCATGGGCAGAACCCTCTAAAGCCCATCATATTGGATCACCCAAATGTAGTGGGATTACAATGGGTCAACATTGAGCAGAACAAATGTATCTCAGGGTATACAAAAATTGAACTGAAACACAGACAAGATGTTGCATTGTGTCATGAATATGATAATGTCTGTCAGACTAGCCCCTGAGAAGAGGATCATATTAAAACTATTTGAATTTATTTCTTGATCATCATCACTGAATCCTGTCTTATGTCACAGGCTTCCACTAATATATGATAAGTGGGGCCAGGGGATGAATGTGACCAGCCCATTATGCAATTACTTTCATTCAAGCCTAGTTAATACATTGCCAGGTGATAAGTGACACAATAAGGAGCATGATGTCTTATAGAAAGCATGATCGTAGACCTACTGTATTCAATGGCCTGCCACCTGCATGTAACTGTGGCCACTGGTCACTCTGCTGAAATCCTGGATTTAGAAAATTAACTAACAAGGCATCTATGCTAAATGTAGTGCTGGAACTGCAGGTCTAGGCTCACCTCAAGGGGTCCATGACACAGTATTCATACTGATTTTTCAAAATTCTAGAGTGGCCCTGTAACATGTACCTAGCAAGGAATTAAGTATACAGTATTACTGGCTGTCCAGCATGGACAATTGCATGGTAAGATTCAGTATGATAATATTTTGTGCCAGTATAGTATCTCAGCTGCACTGGGCTACCAAGCACATGGCACTGCATTGAATTGAGCATAATGGTACATACACTGTAATGCACTTGTTGTTGTCAATAGGACAACCTCAGTAGTCTGTGTATCATTGGTTGGAGCATAACAATAAATGACAAAATCTGTCTTCTGGTTACTTATAAGAAGACAGGATGTGGCATAGGCAGGTCTTGCACAAAGTTGGTTCCAGTCACTCAGGGTATTGCTTGGGTCAGGAGAGCTAGATAGGTAGATGAGATGAACAAGGAGAGAGTTAGGTTAGAAAGAACAGTGCATTGGTCTAACTACAATGTACAGAGTACTGTAGTTGTTAGTTGTGGGTCAAGATAGATGGTTTGTTGAGCAAAAGTGTGTCGTCCATGAGCAAGTTGACACTCCTTATATTCCTGCAGGTTGGCCTTGCTGAATCATCCTCATAATCATAAGTTGAACATTATTGAATGTTTGAAAATGGACTCAAATATATAATGCAATTCTAGCAAGTACCAACTGTATCTTGAAGGCTGACATTACAGAAAGGGAACACTTGTCAACTTTCCCATACTGCTATTGCAAAGTACTTTGAAGCAAGCTTCAGGATCACCATATAGCTGTTGAACTGTGAGAGAAACATAGCACAGACTATCTAATCAACAGTTGCCAAATTTTACCACTGAATTATTACCACAGAAGTCCATGGGTTGCATGGGTACATGGGTCAGATTTTGGCTACCCATACCCATACCCATGCAATGCACTAGTGTCTAGTGACATTGTTAACTGCATACTCTAAATCACCAAGCCACATATATACTGGATACCTCAGTATCACACTGTCTGAATCCTCAAACATCAAACATTGTGCTCTCACCTCAGGCAAATCACTCCAAGATATCACAGCTCAGTACCCAATGTGGTACTGTATCTTGAAAGCTGTCTGGCAGCCTTGTGGCACCTGTAATTTAGATGATGTTGACTTCATATGACCTGAAAGTACTTCAGGATGGCTGCACTGAGGCCTTCCAATTTATTGGGAATTCACACAATTTTTCTGGGCCCAAAACAGTAGGTTTTGTCCTCGGAATGAATATTCTGCGCATTTTTGACCGCTTTTTCGAAGTCACATGATCAATGATGTGCGATCGCAGCACTGCAGCGATAAAACACCGCTGTGAGTGCTGCGACCCCACGTCATGGATCATGTGACTGGCTAGACACAGTGGCCATTGTGCCTTTTTTGGTGCAATAGAGATATGTATACATACTCAGTGATCTGTCACTGATGTTATCCAGGAAAATACACATTCCAGGCAAGTTGTGGGAGTGCTTTTGCACAAGAAGCATCACAAAAGCTCACATTGCCCTAAATGGTGAGTAACCTTCCCAATCCAGTAATTCTCACTGAAGTGAATGTCTGGTGGTTCATAAATTGCAGATAAATCAGAAGATATTCATAGAGTACTATGGCATGTTGATGAGGTCTGTGATGTTTACAGCATGTTACCATATATGGAAGGTAAGCTATAATACCATGTACAAGCATCAAATTAGCTGTACTTGCCCATTTTGAGCTCTGTTGTGGCCCCATAAAGCATTTTCATGATGTCTGACACACATGGCTATACTGTATAGATCATGTGCTCCATATCTAGGGTGAAAATGAGCAGTTCAAATTCTGCAAAGTCACTTGTGTTTTTTGCATTTTGCATTTTCTGGCCTAACCAGCCACTATTGGGGCCCAACAAAATTACTGTAGACTCTATGAAACAAGGGCTACAAGTTGACTATATACTTGCCATATCTATTTGTGAGTGCTTACTGTTGCAAAAAGTGATTGATTATATTGGAGCACAGTGCTGCTGGTTAGGTCACATGCCATGTTTGTCACTTTCCATATTGGGCTCCAAGCTAGATGTTACAGTAGGCCCCAAGTCCATGGGGAATTGTCAGCTTTGAGCCCCAGATAGTCTGAGATCAGTAACACTTACTATGCTATCATTAGCTGAGTTTCAAGTTTCAGACTCCCAGACAACGCGGCTTGCACCAACACACCCAAACAAATGCAGTGCAGTCACATACATTGTGTGAAAAACCTGCCACATTGGGCTCCATGCTAAGTGTTACATTCCCTCCAGTCATAAGAATGATTCCTTTGTACCTCAGGGATCGTAATCTCTACAAGCTGAAACATGTAGGTTACCAAATGTGAGCTGCAGGATGTTATGGTCTTCCTTCAGAAAGTTTTGCAGAACAGTGTTGCAGTTGGCAGAGTTGTCTCAGACATTGCCACCAGCAGAGTTGCCATCATCACCATTGTCATTGTTGCAGTTGTTGGTGTCATGGTCAGTCAGCATGGATGATATTCCAGAGATTTGCCAAGGCAGAATCCTTGAGGGGTTTAAATGTGAGGTCCTCTGGGGTGTGTGCATTGGTGTCTTGAACAAATGCTCCATGTCTATTGTCACTGCATCAAAGAAAGAGGAATGTGATTTGCAGTGACAGAAGGAAGAATGTGGATGCTGCAGTTTCACTCTGTCCATTATGCAGGAACCAAGCGACGTGCAACAGCATGTCCTCATAAGTTACCAGCCAACCATAGTATTCTTGCTTGTACATGTTGAGGGGGGACTTTAGCTGATATATGAAATAGAAAGGGAGTGATTGTGTTGTATTAGATGGTTTGAGGTTTGAAGTTACCATACTGGGGACATTTGTACTCGAATTGGAGGATGGCTGGACAAACTTGTCCCCAAACCATCCCTGATGTGGTACCAAAGTCACAATGAGTAGATTACTGCAATACTCAATGGTCTCTCCAATCCTATACTTGGTATAGCTCCACATATGGATTCAGCTTAAGTGCACTCAGTTGCTCTTTGAGTTGGACTTAGAACAAGAAAGACTCTTGAACCTAATAATTGTCTTCTGCACTCTTCACTGTTGTCAGCAATAATAGTTACAACTCTCTTAACTATTGGTAAACACTTTGTTACTAATCCGCTGTAATGAAGTAATGTCCTCTTATCTTTCTATCTGATTTATAATTGCCAAAGGCATACAGCCTTTATCAAGGGTACATAATCATAAGTAATAAGTAAATTCGTATGTACTACAGACATAGCCCCAGGTCTTAACAACCACATGAAAACTGCTCATAGCCTGGTTCACCTCACTGCTCTTGTGTTTCTGAGCAAAACCCAATTTTCCTGGTCAATGGATGGACAAACTGCTACCATGAGCAGTGTGGCAAGTGGATCACAGGCAATCCCTATCTCTAGCCTCTGCTGTGCAGCAGGGCATGCCACTTCAAAGCTTAGGGCCTCACTGGATCACCTACTTCAGTCATGTGTGACCTTTTGTTCTCTGATTTGATGCCACCAGACAACCTGCTCACAGATAGCATGATGAATCCAATTAGCTTCCTTGACTCCCTTCAATTATACCTGGGTGGTCATGCTGTCAGTACAGCTGCATGAACCAAGAAACGTACAACACTCTGGAGAGTGTGGACACTGTGGAATGTGTGTGAATAAGGTTTCATCTGCTACCCATTTCTGATGTTCCCACCCAGTGTCCAACATGGAGACAAAAGAGAAGACCCTCTTTCAAGTCAACAATCATGTGATTGTTCTTCCTTTAATGCCTAAGACTGTTGCTCAGGAGACCTTTCACACTGGAGCAGAGAATATGATCTACTGGTTTGCAACCATTGCAGGACTTCATGGCACTATGCAGAATGGGTGTTGCATCTTCTATGTGTGGCTGAGATGGATGTACATGTGGGCTGATATTGGGGATGTTATGGTGGACAGAAGGACTGACAGCCTCATGTGGTGGGTGTATTGCTATGGGCACAGCTTAGCATGCTCACGACATTGTTAGCCTTTCACACATCATGGGTGATCACAAGCTAGTATATTCAGATCACTATGATGTCCAGCAGGCTGATGTTCTTGAGAGTAGGTGCACAGAATCTATGCATGTGCCATTCTGAGCATGTGTATAGCCCACCTACTGATCATCACCCTTTCCCCCCTGCTTCCAAGCACCCAATACATGCACAAGGATGTCTGGTATTGGCATGGCATCTCCATCAAATTTGTAATCAGGCGACCTGTTTCTGTGAACACCTTGGTATGTGAGTGCTCCTCTACATAGTGTTTAGCACAGCACATATCAAATCACCTTGACAGGGGGATCAGATCTGCATCTGGGATGGGTGCAAACATCTCCATGGCTCTGCACCTGAACAGCATATCCTGTGCTGGTGTCCACAGTGTGCCCAGTGGTTCCACCTTGACTGCCTGGGTCTCATTGACAGTGAACAGGCAGCAGAGTGTGAAAAACATCTCACCTTAATCACAATAGTGTATGGGGTTGAGGTCTCCAAGCTGATTGGCCTTCCAATCGAGAGAAACCATGCTGCCTCTGCTCCACTCTGGAGCAGCAAGGCCCTTCTTGGATTTTCTCAGGAGAGGTTTCTCTCGTCATTGAACCTGTTTTCCAAGATGAACTGGAAGAAAGAACTGTTTGCTGATGCACTCAGGCAGGGAGAAACAGACAGTGGCATCAGCAAGGACAAGGTTAAGGATGCTATGCAGGTGTGTTTTGACTAGTACATAGAAGCACCACCACCTAGTCCTTGCTGTGACTACTGCTTGTAGATGTTTCTGTGAAGTAGCTTGCAATGCAACACTGTCTGTGTTGGTACTGGAAAAGAATTTGAACAGCTGAGGACATCCACAGATTATCAAATTCATGTTACTGCCAAGATTTCCTGATTCATGACCTGAGGGATCTGTCACAGGCATTGTTATAAATATTTAATGGAGAGCAAGAACCTCTATGTGAAGAATTTGATCATCAGTACCACTGTTTTTTCTGTCATAGCAGCAGGCAGTCTGCATAAGCCTTGCACCTCATATGAATAAGCTGTAGTCTCATACAAAAGTATGGTACTTATGTTGCAAAGTGCTGCCAGAGCTTTGGGTGAGCACAATGACCACTTATATGTGACTCATTAGTACTTCACTGATTTTCTGGTGTGTTTGAGTTGTTTGTTGGAGCTTGGGCAAGCACAAGCCCATCTCAGATGTTTCCATCTGAGATCAAACCTCAATACATACATGTAGAGTATCGACACACTGCCTGTATGTACCTTAGGGAGTGAATTACTAGCTGCTATGCTTGCGCTCACACACAATGTCCAATATTATTCTCTGAGCCTACACAAAGGTGCCCTCCCAATTGGCAATCTCACTGCGCAATGCATTGTGGGCCTAGTAAATACTGTAGAATTAATGGAATATTTGGAGTGCTTGATTACATCAGTTCAAGCAACTGGCATATGGTGAATCATTGAACAGCATACATGTAATATATATGTACTGTGTCTCATTCTTGAAATGCTATTTTTTGAGACATCAAGAGTTGCTCATGCTCCTTCTCATGAAGCCAGTGTTATATGGGTTACAATCCCTGAGGTACGAAGGTATCATTCTTATGATGGACCACCATGAAACACCTTAGTGATTCCTCTGGAATCACAGTTTGTTCCCACAGTGCACATGACTTGCAGCCACCCCAATAAGCAGAGATAAGTAACTGTTAGTATCTGAGTCTGAATAATCAGACTCCCAGGCAACACAACTTGGGCCAACAGATACAAACAAATGCAGTGGCTAAGCACTCTGTTTTGGATATGAGGCCCATGAAATGCCTTAGCAGTTCCCCCAATAAGGAAAGTGGTAAACATATCATGTGACTGCCAGCTCAGTGGCTCAATGCTGCAAGCGCTCACACACTGTAGGGCCTATATAGTCTCAGCTAGTAAAAGATCATAGTATACATAGTATGCTCACCTGATAGCCCTTCATTCAAAGAGTATAGAAAAATTCTATTGAGTGCATACAGTGGCTGGCTAACCCAGGAAATGCAAAACAAAAAAATGCACAAGTGCCTCTGCAGATTCAAAGTGCTTGTTTATGACTCAAATATGGTTGATGTGTACACTGTAATGTATGTGTGTGGTTTAGATACTGTGGACTACTCAGTAGCTTCTATAATACAGGTAATAAGGACTATAATGGGTAATCTGAGCATCTTTTGCCATGTTATGGCCCTTGTATACAATGTAATGGTGACCATTGCAGCTGAAAGCAGTCATACACTTGTCTTTGATGTGTCTATATATTTCACACATTTTCTGTATTTTCCTCAGCCCACCCAGTTTGTGTTGGATTCTTCTTTTGGGAAGGTCACATACTCCATATGGCAATTGTGCAGCCACTGGCTTTCTCTTGCACATAGACACATACAGGGTATACATACATGCATCTGTACTTACACTATCATCTTATGGGGATGTCCACTACATGAGTAGTTCCTAGAGCGGTGTAGCAAGCTATATGAATAAGCTCACTGGGGCCACAGCAACCATCTTACCAGGTTATTGAGAATGCTATCTTATCTGATATCAACCTCATGCCATAGGCCACTTCAATCATATTGCCTGGGCCATCCCCAATATTCTCCAATCTTTCCGCTTTTTTCTGGGTCTAAACAAGACCATTTGGGTGCAGTAACAATTCGCTCTTACATCGCTTACTAAGCGCTAAGTTAAGCGCCCGTTGCCGAAGCGGAGTCATCGACAGACTGGAATATGACTCTGGTCACTCAAAAGAATTTCCGGAGCACTCTCATTGGCTGGAATGCTGACAAATATTCCCTTTCAAAGTAATCTTTCAGTCTCAGCTCTTCATGCCCAGTTTTTTGATGGTTTCAAGCAGCACTAACTGAGAGCCCCATTGAATGCGGAAAAATACCAAAATATTACTTCTCCGTGGGATGCCCCTTGGGTACTGACAGGGGTGCCCAGATCAGGTGTTCTTGTTGTTTTTCACAGAGTACTGACCTTGGCAAATGGGGGATATAGGCAAATCTTGTTGTGTATATGATGCTTGTACTGTACAGTTCCACATGTATGAGAGGCTCTGTGAAGTGGAGGAAATTAAACATACAAACCTACCATATATGGTCAGTCCCCTGCCCATTTGGGAAGTTGGCCATGGATAGCCTCTGCAGTCCTGGATAAATAGCAGGAAATTCAGAGAAAAAAGTCAGATTTACTTGGAGAAGTACAGTTAACAATCTGTTGAAAGACATCCTTCTATATGAGAAGTTTTCTCTGATCAAGGGCCAGTTCTGCATAAGTACTTGTACAACAGCACCAGCAGCAAGTCCCAACTGAGTAGTTGTTACTGTAGTCAACCCTCCCCCAGATTCCCTTTCCTTGAATCCTAGATGCTCTCCTTACACTGAGCTCCCCTTGCAACATTTCCAAGTTATTTGCTGTTTGTTACTACTATCAATACAAACCAGTAATACTGCTCATCAGTATTCTGGTAATATTGGTAATTAACTTGGCAATCTACCATGTAAAAAACAGATCCATGATGTCTTTCCTCTTAACAGAGAGTCTCATATGGATATGCAATTAGCTCATGGTTGCAGACTATGATCCTCATATTGAAACAACCAAATGAATTACCAGGCTACTTTGCATCTCACCTGTTTTGCAAGCTAACTTCATGTACTATGCAATCTAGGAGTGGAAACTGCCCATCCCACTGCCTCTAATTGCAGAGGTGGGTGATGACTGCCATCTACCTGAGTGCCAGCTCCCCACGTTCAACCTCTGCCAGCCAATGACCATGCAGGTCTTTCCTGCCCAGCAGGGGTGCAAGACACTGCCCACCCTGCATTATTATACACTGGCAGTATGATAGTGTATAGTGCTATGGTCTGTGTCTGATAAAGGTGTGTACAATGTATTGGAACTGCATGATTTTGACACTATGCTGCTCATCCTTTGGGAAAGTTTTTGATTATGTGAGTACTAATAGTTCCTTGTTCTAAAATGGCTGTTAATTCATTGGTTGTAGTGTCCAGCACATCTTATGTCAGATTGCACCATGACAGTTTGCCAAGTGCAGCCACAGGAGGCAAAGCAGTTGGCATTGAGGGATAGTATTCATTGCTGCCTAGCCTCAAAGGGAATGAAGAACAAAGGGTGATTATCAAGTGGTGAATAGTATACATCAGGATCTGTCTGATATCTCTACCACTGTCTGCATAACTCACAACAAATTCTAGGAGGCCACAACTCCTATCTCCCTGCCTCTGGTTGTTGAGGTAGCGGCAGGTAGGCTGTGGCTCTATTTCCAGCAGCCGATCACTGCCCAGGTCTTCTATGGCCTCTGCTGGTGGAGCAATCTGTCCCTAGGTACTGTCCCAGGCATTTGATATATTCAACCTCAAATGCAAGACATAGGAATGTGTCCTGGCCTCTACTCAGTGTTACGCGAAGCTGGGCGAGTGGAACACTACAAGCCACAAGCTTGACAAGGCTACTAACTTCGAGAAGAGTTCTGTATCTTAGACCTAGGAAGGACACAAGTCCCTTCGTCCTAGTCAAGTTCCGAAGCGGTAGCGGTATGAGAAAGCTAGCGTCGATTGCTAACCAGGTCAAACTGAAGAGTCCAACCTCTACTGTACAGGTATATATACAAGTGGGCGAGTCTGAATATGAACGTATAGTAAGCATGAGTCAGGATGTGTCATCGCTGACGAAGGGAGTGATGAACATGACAAAGAAATGAGTCAGCAAGAGTCAGCTATCACATGATAGTCCGGGTGCGGTAAAGTACATAACTGGTCCTTGTGCACGCAAGGTGGTTAAGGATACAAAGTAAAACAAAATGAAATGTACGTTAGATGGCGACTTGTAACACTCAGCAGGACCATGTGATTTATCTTCCCCTTCCCCTTCACCACATTCCCATCTTCAAGCTGTCATTGATCATGACCACACCACATCCTGAGCAGTTTTCATGTAGTGGTAGGAGTTTCAGAGTGATTTGCTTGATGAGCCTGAGGTCAAATTCATCCCCCACATCAAGTTCTTGTGGCTGTATGGCCTGATCATACAACAAGATGACTGTATGATAGAAGGATGCAGCATCCAAGACACAGGACACATGACAGTGAGATGTACAACAGTAAGACGGGGTGTGACAACGTGTGATGTCTTCTCACTGTCATTGAGTGTATAAGCTCACTGGCAAGGGATATTTGGACCATTGCAGCAAGCATCTTCCAGCTCATCCTCAGTGCCAAGATGCTTGTGCTTGCATGCCAGCTGGGCAATGTCATCCCATTGCTCATTGACAACATCCATCTCCTGGAAGAGGGGGAGGGGTTCATGATAGCCTCCTTGGACACCACCTCCTGCTTGGTGTTGAGCCAACAAATTGTCAACCAGGTGTTCGGTGGTGGTGCCTCTTGCACCCAACCTGATTGCCTTGAGGAATTGACTGATATGGGATTCAAAGCATACATCTTCTTCTGTGCATAAGTCTTCATCTTTTGGATGGAGCAGGAGTTCATTGTAAGCTTTCAACTCCTCAACTTGTTTGTCTATTGCAGTATCATAAATTCATGTGGGTGCAGCCACCACCTTCTCCTTGTTGTCTGGTAGGGTCAACACGCATGGATAGCTTCACTTTGTAGCCATCCTTGACCTTCTTCAAGAAGTCATTGACCTGGTTCTTGACCTGCCCTTCGTACACATCAAGAATAGGCTTGTCACCAACAGTCAGTACATAGATTCTTGCTTAGCAGAAGACAGTTGCTTATGATTGTAAAGCCCTTGGCAACCCACACCTCTATGGGCCACCACTTACTCACGCCAAGCTTGAACATTGCTAGCTCCGAGTATGGGATATAGAATCACCAAACTTGAGCAGCACCAAAGAATACGGTGTCATGCTCTGTGACCCATGGACCTGTGTCCGAGATCGATCCATTGTTGGTCTCCAACCATGGTGGGGTACTGCTCCCTGCTGATGTGGAGGTTTGCATCAGTATAGTGATGTGTGCCTGGCAGCACCCATTTTAACTTCGTCTTTGTGCCAGAGTCAATGGGGATCAGCTTGTTGATATTGAAGCATGTGAGGGCTACAAAGGGGGGGAACACTTTCCCACTGCTACTGGTGTGCGGAACCTCACTATTTTTCACTAGTCCATCCCCCAGTTCCACAAGCTGTTCAATAGTATGAGCAAACATGTCAAATCACAATGGGCAGTTCAAACATACCTTAGGAAGCACACTGTCCTTTCCCTTGCTGTCATAGAGCCCCTGCAACTTGGATGGTTTGTTCACCTGGGTGATGTACACCTTCTTGCCAACTGAGCATGCCTTGACCAGATCCACAATCTTCTTTGTATCACTTGTTCCATCAATTGATGCATACTCCACATGTTTGTCTGAGAGATCCAGCACAGTCTTCAAGACACCAGGAGGCAATGTATCCACCTGTCAGTGTAGGACTTCCTCTCTGCAGCAATCATGTGGGTGGGGCCCATCATTGTTGATGTCTTGTGCTTGCTGCCATAACAAAATATGTGATTGCTAAAGTCAATAGGATCTCCACATAGACAAGGATATATACTCACTGGAATTGATTCAGAGTGTCATGATCCACGAGCCACTGCTGCAACACCTTCCAATTGTCCAGTGTGAAACTAGCAATCTTCTGAGCATGCTGCATGCAGAGGTCAGTCACTGCCACTGGAATATGAAAGACACAGAAACACTTACAATCTCCCCAGAGACGTGTGGGAGATCTTGGTACTTGTCTCCAAAGGCCTTCTGAATAAACTTGAGGTACTTGTCTTTGTTGTCAGGCTCATTGATGGCTAGCGTGTAGTGAGGCGGGTTGGCGGATCATATACACATAGTCACGCTTACCTGCCTCAGCAGAGTCAGACTTGCCTACAACAATCTGCATGATCTCTGCCTCTGTTATACTGATTATTAGATGCCAGTGTTGCATATTACAATACACATATGTTTTTGATACCTACCCTGTTCAGTGGCATTAGGTTATGATCCCTCAGGTATGAAGGTATCATTGTTATGATGGACAGGCCTGAAATGCTTCCAGTGGTGCCTGATGCGGCAGTTTTTTCCCACAGGTACAGTCATTTGCAGGGGCTTACCATGTATAGTTAACATTTGTTATGATCAGTTAGCACTGCAAACTGTTACTGGCAAGTCACATCCTCTGTGACATGGGGTCATATGATACTGAAACAGTGGTCCAATATGTACAATATGTTCATTCTGAGGCTAAATTACCTCCTTGCATGCTCAGATAAATCACATAACTCCCCAGGAAACATTGAAGTTCTAATGGATCACATATGAGCAGTCATTGTGCTCACCAAAAGCTATAGATGCATCATGCAACATGGGTATCATACTTCTATATCTGACTACCATCAAGGGGTCATGCTGGGTACAAAAGATCAGTGTTGTTGATCACAAAACTCTTATTTTTAATTATTCCTGCTCTCCATTGAACATTCCTAGTGATGCCAGTGACAGCTCCATGAGGGCATGATATGGGCAATTTCAGCAGTATCTGTAACGGGACGTTACCGTATGGACATGTGTAATCCCGTTATGGACTTATTGGATCGATATGCTTGTATGTATATACGTTTGCGTGTGTTTGGCGTCGTACCTTTATAGGTCGTCGCCCGGCGAGTTGAAGGAGAAGTCCTTTAAACTCGTCGTCCTCCGGATACATCGCACTTCTCAATGGAGATTGGTGCACTGTATCTGCGGGATTGAGTAAGGCAACGTTACACTTTTTTACAGTCCTTCGATAACTCGAACTTCCACTTGGAAGGGCGCTCTATCAAGGAACTGCACGCTACGTAACAACCCCCATCACAACATTCATCATTACAAAACCTAAATCGCAACAACCGCGTGATAGTCGCGGACACTTTCTACCACGAAAGAAAATGGCGGACCAAGCACCTGAGTCCCCCTCTCCGAAAGGAGCTAACTCGCCCGTGGATCCACCCCAATTGGGTGGATCACCGAAGCGAGGTGAACAACCTTACACGTCGAGAGTATCGCCGAGAGGAGCTCGCGTGTTTAGTGACGAACGATTGGTTGCGTCACCAGACAGCGGAGCCAGACCTCATTCAGCGAGGATATCTCCGGCACGTCCGGAAGGAAGCGGACGTGTCCGAACGCCCGAGGAAAAGAAGTCGAGCAGCGCCAGTAAATCTGCACGCTCGACGTCAGCCAAACCGAAGGGTTCGCCTGGGTCCCGTCGCGGGACTCAGTCGGGCGCATCGGCGATGATCCTGGCGATTCGAGGCCACGCTAAGAGACTCGGAGCAGCCAACACGGAGGCTATCGAGGCTCTTCAGCGTGAATCCGAGGCCAAGTTCATCCAGCTAAGAAGGGATCTCAACGCGGGAGTTGAAGATTTCATGAATGAAATGGTCAACTACGTCGAGGCAAGAATCCCGAACAAGCCAGGAGGAGAATCGGGAACGGAGGCCGACAACGAGACAGACGAACCAAGTTCGTCGCCTCGGAAGTCGAGTCCGCCCATGAGCAAAGGCAAGGAGCGTGAACGGCCGGAACGAGCAGAAAGCATGTTCGGCGGATGGGGGAAGGCTAGGCCTACGACCGTTGAAACTGAAGACGAGTCGTCGAATGATATACCGACGCAGCGACCGCCGCCAAGGACGCCCCCAGCGGCGACCTCGACACCGGCGCGGCCGGATATCAACGCGGATCCCAACATGAGTTTCGCAGCAGCAAACTTGGTCCTCCCCAAGGGAAGGAACGAGTCGGACGCGGAATTCGCGAGGCGAATGGCAGCCGCGGAACGGCTAGCCAGTACCCTAGGAGGCACTGCCCAAGCAGTACCCCCAACCCCGGGTCCCGTACCAACGGAACCACGGAAACCGAGACCTGGTGAACCGGGATTCACTAGGTCTCCGTACCGTACATCGGGGCCGGGGTACGCGTTCTTCCAGACGAAGGACGGACCTGTACCATCAAAGGATCCGCCCCCTCACATGCCGGGTCCCGCACCTCCACCGAGAACCGGCGGCGGTGCAACAAGGACCGAGAACGACGGTTATAGGTACACAGCAAGTGGGGTACCTATACCGCCAGTTCCCCAGAAACCGAACGTTGTGTTCGAACCAGGAGTTGGAGGCTCAAGCGCTTCTAACTCCGGGAACGACCCAACCAAGGAGAAGGAAGGCGGGGTTGGCTATGGGAGATTCCAGGCGTACTCATACATGGGTACGAGCCGGGACCCTCAGAGCGTAAGCACCGCCCCAGCACGCACGCAAACCGCGTTAGATCCCTTGGCAAGGTCGAGGGAGAAGTGCTGGAACATGATCCAGACCATGGTAGGGGATCCACCGATGGATGACCCTCCCATGTACCTGCGATCCGTTAAGCTTCAAACCCCTGCGGCCTGGAGCGGCGAAGACGATCTGTACAAGTTCGAAGAGTGGCTCTACAAGCTCCTCTCGTACTTCCAGACGCTCCGCGTAACAGGACCGCGGATGGACGCGGATAGGCTCCGCATGCTAGGTGACTCACTTACTGGGGAACCCAGTATGTGGTACATCCGTAGCATAAACTATACGAAACCGAACCAGCCCGCCTGGATGTTCGCCGATGTAATAATGATACTACATGAGCGGTACATCCGACGGGATGGTGAGATCGAGGCGGCCGAAGCATTCTATGGCGCGAAATACACCCAGAAGGGCGGTGCCATAGATTTGATCGACCGGTTGACTCGGTATGGCGAACGTATGGCTGAGAAGCCAAGCCCGTACGTGTGGAAAGGCAAATTTATGTCTGCCCTTCCCCGCGACGTCGAGAACCACCTCAGGAACACTTGCATGCTCACACCGGAGAGGTCTGAGCTGCAGGAGATCATTGAGAAGACCAATGAGTACGAGCACGCCCAGCGATCTCAGAAAGCGGGATCGGCGCTGTGGCTGCAACGTATGGTAACTACCGCCAAGGATGGTGGTAGTGCCAATACGAAGGCAGCAACGCCTGCCACCACCAGTAACAAGAATACCGGCGGTGGTCAGTCGTTGAACAAGGGAAGAAACCCTTTGTACCACGATTCAAGACAGGCACACAGATGGACGGTGCGAACTTCAGGTCTGGGAACCAGATGGATGGATCGGCCAGCAGGTTCCAGAAGACTCCTGCTCCAACCGGCAAGACGACCACCGATGGTCGTCCGTACGGAGGTTACAGCAAGACGTACCCGAAGAAGGTCCAGATGCATGCCGGACGCGTCGCTGAAGAAAGCGATGCGGACGCCATGCATCAGACTGACCAGCCGGTCGAAGAGACGTCGGAACGGGAAGAAGTCAACGCAGTGGACACTGAGGATGCTAGGACAGGTATCGAAACCGACCAGCACCCTCAGTCCGACTACGGAGACTACGCATACGATGACCCAGGAGAAAACTCTCCTGTGGACGATCGTAGCGAAGATGACGAAGAGGGACACACCGTCCACATGGGTTCAATGTGGATGGGTGCGATGCGGATTGAGCGACAACAGTCGACCCAACAACGCCATGAACAGCTGGCCCACCAGTCGTACGATGCCGCAATGACCGACATCGTGCGCTCGTGTGCCATGCAAGTCATGCCCTCGGCGAGGTCGATGAAGGCAGCCTGGCTATATGACTCGAAGATTCGACGAACGTCGGATCCGAAAGACCAGCCCAAGCGCGCCCCCGACTCGCAGCGAACACTATGCGCGGAAGTCGACGTCAACGGCGTGAAGGCGTACACTCTGTTTGACACAGGGTGCACGACCGACACTATATCACCGGAGTTGGCGTACCTGTCCAAGGCTGACAGGTTGATCTCAAGGAGCAGATCAACCTGCAGCTTGGAACGAAGGGCAGTCGCACCACCATAAATTATGGTGCGCTGCCGAAGATTACGGTTGGCCCCGTCAACAACGTCAACTACGTCGATGTCGTTGACATCGACCGGTATGATATGGTGCTAGGCACCACGTTCTGCAATGCGCATAACGTGGTCCTAGACTTTCGTACGCGGAAGATCTGGATTGACGGCGTAGACATCCCTGCCTACACCGCCGTCCAGGAGGCTGAGGTGTGGGAACACCGCCGAAACAATCGTCAAGACAGGGTAGCGGCGCATTTACGTGCTGCTACCACCTCAAGACAATAGGGCAGCGTAGCGAGATCCACCGCTGCGCAGCCCCCCCTGTCTCGCTATGCGGAAGAAGGAAAAGGTCTTGAGGGGGGAAGGGAGCGACCCAAAATCGCTTCTATTGTGGATAGAACAACGAAGAAGTTGGTACCACCTACGGCGCCGCAGGTGGTACGCAACCCAACATTGAAGGCTTCAGACCGACCGCCACCACATCTAACAGTAGAAGTGGTGACGCCTCGGCGGAAGGTGCCTGTAAACAGAGGAAATCAGTTTACAGCGAAACTGCCACGACTGAGCGAGGACAATCCACCGATGCCTCACTCATCGCAGCAGCCCAAGCGAGACAAACTCGGTCGATTGGATCCGTATGGAACCAACGACGAGGTTGACAGAGCTGTGCGTAACTTCCTTGTCGACGAGGAGATACGCCAGTCCCTGAATGAAGACCCACAACTCGACGCACTGCGCGAAGAGTGGTTGAAGAAGTGCGAGGATATAATGAAGCCTCCACCTCCCGGATTGCCGCCATTCCGGGAGTGAACCATTATATTCCGCTCATCGACCAGGACAAGCAGTACAAGTACCGCTTGCCCAAGTGCCCGGATGCTATGAAACCACAGCTACTCGACAAGATAGAGCGGTATTCAGATGCAGGATGGTGGGAACCAGTATCAACGTCGCAGGCCGCTCCGCTACTTTGCATTGCAAAGAAGTCGGGCAAACTGCGTACTGTCGTTGACGCAAGACAGCGTAATGACAATACCCGAAAGGACGTGACACCGTTTCCCGACCAGGACCAGATCAGAATGGACGTGGCTCGAGCGAAGTACAGATCGAAAATCGACCTGTCCGACGCATATGAGCAGATCCGTATCGTTGCAGAAGACGTCTGGAAGACGGCGTTTCTACACCGTACGGCACGTTCCTTAGCCTGGTAATGCAACAAGGCGACTGCAACGCGCCTGCTA